CAGAAACTATATACATATATATATCTTGTATAGGCACTTTTTTTAAATGAATTTTAAATTTTTATCTTTATTTCATGAGTTTATTTGCAACAATATTAACAGACTGATCATTTTTTGATCCGCGCCTGAAAAATACAACAATGCAATATACAAATAAATACGAACAAAAGTTAAACACCATAAAAAATGCTGGGCATGAATGGACTGAAACTTAATATTTATTCCATGTTAATTAAGTAGGCCTATGATTAGGAAGTTTATTTAAAAGTGCACTGTAAACATTTTGTGCGGACCTCCCTAAAAGTAGTCTGCATATTTATTTTTCACATATCATTGCGCATAGAATAAGTCAAGGTGTGCAGAGTAAAAGCTGGTAGCAGATGGGAGAGGATATGTTAATATGCTTTCGTTAACTATTTTGAAAGTTAAAATTTAAAATTGAAAACGCTTCAATAATAATTTGGGTGGGAATGTTATTTTTTTCATGGACCTAATTTCACACGGTTAACGAGAGTACTTCAGTGTGTTGTTCGGTTAGTTATGGTGGACTGACAAATTCCTATATGCTACTGTAACTTTTACTCCAAGAGGCGCATAATTCAAAATAACATTGTTTTAACTCCATTCAAAAATAAGCAAATCTAATTTCTTTATCAGCTTTTTGCTATTATTCGGTTTCTTCTGTCAGATCAATTGCATCTTCGACACTTAACTTTAGCCGAGGCTGAGTAAGGTGTTGCTTGCAATGCTCGACTTCAGAATCCAGTACCGTTGAAGTGACCAATGCACCAGCCATGTCTTTTTCGGAGAGGTTTGTATGTTACATCAATGTTAGCTTGACAATATCTGGCTTTTCCGTCAATAATTGTTCAGTGTCTCGAGTAATGACTTCCGAGCGGAAGGAAACATAATTAGGCCATCAGATTGAATCACTGTTGCCCCATAACACTAACAGTTACTGTTATTCTTCTGTGTCCATTGCAAAATTGTTGGTAGTAACTTTTGAGAATTGGACAAATGCTGGATTGCACAACTGTCAAACATTAATTTAAACAAAACATAAATGTTAATTTTCACAATTCTTCACACTACAGAACAAAATCTGCCAGGTGTTCCTCCGTACATAAAATATCTTTTTTTTTTAAAGTTCAGATTAATCCATTTATAACATGAATATGTGAGCTATGTTAAATATGAATTAAATGAATTCAAACAAATTCTAAAATGTCCTGGATAGCCTTTATTATTGGTATTTTTCATGCCAGTGATAAGAATTGTTATTCACTTCTCAGACAAAATTTGCCTTTAATCACTTGTCTCATATTATAAAGACAGTAAAACACACTTATAGCGAACATGTTTATAATGAATTTAGTCCTACGGCGAAGTCATTTTCATTCCCCTTGACTTTAAAATATACATGACTGTATTGTAAACTTGACAGATGTGACAAATTACGCTTATAATTGTACAATCGTTTAAGCAAAATCGTCCGTCCATAGTACTTCCTTATAGATGTGTATTTTAATACTGTATAAACAGTGTTTCACATATTGTGTACTAATATATATTGAAAATATTATTTGTCCAATTCTGACAGTTCTGGGATATAAATGCATGAACCCAAAAAAGGACTCATTAAAACTGAGTCCATTAATCTGGTATATGAAGGATGTTTCAATCTAGCAAATGCTCTAGGGAAATATGAAGCAATTAAATGTTTATTCATTGTCTTAAAAATGCAATCCAAGATGATCAGGATTTGAGGAAGTCAGCAGCCCAAGAAATAGCCTGCCCCTTTCCTGTCATATAATACAGAATCTATATCCTAGAACAGTATTTCTACACTTTTTATATGAACACATAGCAATATTTTAAACAGTATGTTACCTCAGATGGAAGTGCCAGAATACTCAGATTAATTCTGATCATTAATCAGTTTGAGTTCAGGCTCATTATAGTCTTATAGACATAAATTTGGTTTGTTGTACACATGCTTTCATATTAGTAGTGTGACAGTCAATCGGGTTCTACCTTTGGTGACACCTCTCATGTTTCATTTGGTTATGTGACCAGTATGTGTCAGGTAAAAGACCTGCTGGGGAAGAATTGGTGTCTTATTGGTGGAAGACAGAAATGTGGCGGTCAGGTGGGCTCGATCGCCAGTTTGTCAAGTATCTTGGTAGAAAACCTGACTGGAGATTCAGGTGGCCTGGGGTCCAATCCAGGCCTGGTTCGTTGCATTTTTCTTCTCTTCCTTTACAGTTGTACCTGCAAAATAAAATTAAATTTGGCATTTCTTTAGTCAAGTGGGGCTTTTCTCTTATAAGTGAAGTGTGGAACAGTATTGTAAATGTTTAATTCGTATGTATATACAAATAATTAATTTAGAAATAGAAAAACAATACTGAGGAGCAATGTGATTATAGTCATATCTTGGTAATGCTCCAAAATTTTGTATCAACTATCAGAAAGTCGGCGTGTACTTAAGATCTAATTTCAATCAGATTGTTTTCAGGAGTTACCTATCATGCTAAATGAAAGAAGTCTAAGTACAAAGAGTTAAAATTTAAATGTGTGCTTTATACATCATTGCTTCATGCTTGAGAAACTCAACAGTTGATTTTTTTTTCCTTGACAGTTCACACTAAGTCTAAAGAGTTTATTCAAGTTTTAATATTTTTTTATTATTCCTATAATTATTTAGCTGATACTTCACATTGAATTTAGTTATAATCTGAAGTTTCATTTTATAAGTGTGCAGTGCATGCCTGTCTCTAAGTTGAATATTTGTTAGGGTTTTTCGCTTTGTGTGGGTTTTATTGATAGGGGTTTTAAGTTTTTTTTTTTTTTTTTTTGTTTTTTAGAAAATTAGGAGTGTTATCTTTAACAGTTATTGCTTATTAATGATATCTTACTGTTTGAGTTGGTATCAATCATATATTTTAAATGGCTAGTCATGGAGGATAATTTATGATATATATCAAAACGCTAGTTTCGGTTTCATTTACTGGTATGAAATTAAAGTCTTTCCCTGAAATAGGCAAATTTTTAAATAAAACAACATGCACTGCTAATTCCCTATATATTATACAAAGGTTATAGTATTCTTAAATTCTTAAAACATGTATTAAACTTGATAAGGATTTATTGAGCTGTTGTCATTGAGTTCAAATCTTTAACAGTTATTGATCTTATTAATGATAACAAAGTCTTTGTAACTTGGTATCAATGTGTTGAAAAAAACAATGATATTTTATAGATTGAATATTAAAATTCTCAATTTATTGGTATCAGTATATATAATTCAGTTAAATACTGCAAGTATTTTTGGGAACAAGGTGGCTTTTTTTTCCGTAAAAAGTTTGTCACCATTTTTTTTTAAGTTGTTGATAAATGAAAGTCATAGAGATAGAGTTTTAAAAGATATTATATGACTGAATTCTGCTGGAATGACTTTCAAACACTTTTAAAAATCACATATATTTTATATGTATTTATAACATTATCATATAACAATTATATTTAAGTGGGGAATATTAAAATTATAGTTTGTTTGGAATTGTATATATAATTCAGTTACCCCCCTCCTGAAAAAATTTTGATTTAGAGCAAAAGTAGATGATTTTTTTTTTTTTAATCAATTTTTTCACTATTACATGTTCATACAAAACACTGAAATATAGTTGATAAATCTATGTAAAATTAGGTTTTCAATTAAAAAAAATTTGACTGAATTCTGCTGTCCTCATTCAAACACTGTGTTAAAAATCACATATATTTTATATGTATTTAAATATATACTAAATTATATTTAAGTGGCATAGATTGTTAATTGTATTATTTGTTAAACAAAATAAGAAATTAATATATATTACTTGTAGTATTACTATATATAAAAAAAGTGCTTACCAATACTTGTCAAAAATCAAACTGAAATGTACTAAACCACTTCCATTGTTGACTAAATTAAAGTCCAGGTGATGGAGGGATCTTTTAAAACTCCCTTCACCTTTGGATGCTTTGGTTGGAACATAAAGATTAAGTTTATGTTTAAGCCCGTATCTTTCCCTGGTTTGTTGTTGTATCAGTCTGTTGTCTGTTGTCTTTGAAGTGTGTACAACAACATGTGGCAGATCGCTAGGATGATCACATGTTGTCAAGTAGGTTCCTAAAATATCTCCTCCTAGCCTTGTCGTTATATAGCCTGAATGTGCATCATAAAAAAGATGACTGAATATCTGATCCTTCCTGTATTTTCATGGATTATTAGTCACCTGATGCACTGAAATCTATAAGGTTTTGATTTCACAAGAGATATATGCATTACACGCAGGCCACACAAATCAGTCAGGTGCCAGCCGTGCCGTGAACCAGCACAATAATTCTGAATATTTTATCACTTTTTTAAAACAGGTAAATATTTCACTACCAAGCCCCTTTCACTTTCATGGACAATAGCACTCTTTACCTTTGCCTTGTTTGATTTTATTAGGGTTATAACAGCAGAACTTTATTTTTTGCAATTAAGAAAAGGAGTAAAACATTCATTCCTTAGGGATTAAGGAAATTGATTATAAATTAAGAATAATCAGCTAAAATGCAATATATCTGATTTATGGCATTAGTCAGCATCCATTGATATAACAGTAGTAGTATGCCTAAACCTGCCTAGTAATCTGTCACAGAATGTATCTTTATTTCACATCAGTTACTCGGCAATTATTTTGCCAGGAAAGTGACGTAAGGATATTTAAGCCTGGAGGTTTTATTTTTCTGGAATGTCGGATTGATTAGAAGGTTGGCTTGCTGGAATCCTAATGTGTTTTGTGTTTTGTCTTTATTGAGAGAGATATAAATGCTCAGTTAGCCTACATAGACAGATGAGTTGTGGTCATACATGTTTTGGGGTTTAGCCGGGTCACTAGTATAATCCACCTAGAAGGATCTGTAGTTTATGACATGTATAGATCTATATACAGGATGTGACTTAGAGCTCAGATAAACCTTACAACATTGATATAATGAAAGCCTTTGTTTTACTGTTGTTTTTACTTGTAAACAGTACCATTTCCTGGTGTCTTCCCTCAAGGTCAAAGTTCACAAGGAATAACCACAGCAGCTAATGGTGGGGTTAGCTAACGCAGTGTAGATATAGTATTGTGGTGTTGGAGGGATACATTACATTCATTGACCGGGAAATAATAGGGAGTACATTGAGTTTGCTGGAGTGTACTCCAGGTGATATTGTGTGTGTATTTAGTGACCAGGCTTTGAATGACAAGGATTATCAGTGATCGCTGGCTGGACGAACAAACTAATTTGATGATCCACCTCTTAAGTGTGAGAGTGTTGTGGTGTAAAGGAATTCATTTTATATATATAGAAGGGGAAAAACATTGTTTTTGATGATGAATATTTAATGAGGAATTTGAAATGGAATTAACCACTATCACTGGATGTTATTTGTGTTTTTTCATCAGATTTTGGTGTGGCTTGTGATCACATCTGTGAAATCAGTTATTGATTTGAATATTTATATCTTATTTTACCTCAAGTTTATTTTAATGTGTTATCTATCAAAGTGCTGAATTGAGTGAATATTAGGCATTCCTGCAGATTAATTAATAAACAGCTAATTTATTTGATAATGGAGAAATCATTCTTGTTGTTGAGATAGCTAGTCTACACAATGGTGATAATAGAAAGCAATTAATCTAGCTCAGCATTGATTCAATTTCGCGTAATCCAAGTTTACAAATATGCCATTGGGAAAAAAATGGCGATCGATGGACGTTCTTCATTTTGGCTCATCTAAGCAAGATAAAGAGGCCCTAAAAAAGGACGATGGACTGGTAGGATCTGGGGAACATTTGTCTCGAACCTGTGATGCTCGGGTAAAGGGCGGGTCCAGAGAAGACCTGATTGATGCAGATCCACCGGTTATTCTAAGAAAGAAGCATACTAGTTCTAAGCATCGGTTTAGTTCACGAGAGGACCTCCTCGATAAACCCGCCTCCCCCAAACTGCGACAGAGCCTGCATGTCCCCTGGCACAGGACTAAGTCGAGCTCTAGGGATGATCTCATTACTAATGAATCTAGGAAAGATGTGAACGACAGGTATATCTAATTCACCAATCATATCTGCCTGCTTTATTAATTATCACACTCAGGGTTACATGGTGCATGTACACACACATTGTTTGTGTATGTATAACCCTGATAGCACTACCTGTGGCTTAATATGGGTGAAAGGGATAATGCAGTAATGTTATAATCAGGTGCACTTTTTAATGGATCAAAACTGGTATGCATTACTTCACAAAAATCCAACATTGTGGATCATCTGTGGTGCAGAATGCATTGATGGGGGAAGGAAATGAACTGATAACTTACATATGTCTAGGCCAGGAAATTGATGTCTTGTGTGTAGTGGTATCATCTCATTATTGGTAAATGTTAACACACTTGTTGAGTATTCTTCATGACAAAAATGACTGGACATAGTGTATTGATATTGTACATAATCATCCAATAGGACCTGATCTACTCCAGACCAGGGCCATGTTTACACTGACCTGTCTTGCACAGGTATCAGTGAATGACAACTTTCCCACATGATTTTACTAAATTCTAGACTGAAGGAATGTTAAATATAGTCTTTTCCTTCCCCCCTGCAATTATAATTCCTTCAGCTCAATTTAAGGTGGTACATCTACTTGATAGGAGTAGATAGATGTAGCAGGTCAGGTGTTTACATTGTGAATCTTTCCAGGGATGACTGAATTTAATGCTGTTTGAGGTCTTAATTTTGTGTCCTGCATGAGTAACTTGTGTGTATAATGGGTATCAGCAATGCTACGCATCTAACTTTCGTACAGGAACTTGCTTTTCTTGTTTGCCTCTACTCCTTGGGTTTTCTCAGGAAATGATAAATTGCACAGACTGAAAGTTGGTTGAGTTTATATAAGTATATAAATAATCGTTTAAAGGGAATTTTACTCACATAATTATTCACCCTTTACATTATATTGTTTTTAGTACAATGTTTTCAATAAAGAGACACTGATTTTTCATTTCTATGTGAAATATTATTGGTAACTAAGAAGAATCTATGTGTTCTTTATTTTCATTTTTGCAAAACACTTGAATTTAAGGAAAATGTATCCTCACTATGTGAAACACATGTTCCTGTTAATGCCTATTACGTAAAAGGTTTTGAGTTTGTTTTATGAGTTTTCTGTTGTAAAATCAGAGAGAGAGAGAGAGCATTAGAGAGAGAGAGAGGATATTATGGATGGCAACAGCTGATCATATCTTTATTTACTCCAGGTTCATATTAATTGATCTATTTATAACAATCAGACTCAGAGGAGGAACATCTTCCTTGATGTTATAGATTGCTTGTATTTACTATTTACACCATTCAATTTACCCAAGTTTTAAAACTGTACACATGAACCATGCAAAATTAAACTAAGTAATTTTACATTTTTTTTTTGTTTTCACAAAATTTAATGCTATTTGCTTCACATTACAAATCAGTATATATTTTGTACACACCTGGTAAAATGTTTGATATTTTGCTGTCCATTGTAGGCACTCTAGCAGTGTGAAATTGGAACAACATGGCACTCAGGAAGAAACCAAAGAAGGTAAGCTGGCAGAATGATAGGTGCAAGATTTAGTAAGAAAAAATAGGCATAAGATTTTGGCAGAAAAATATGCAAAAGGATTAAGGTTTAGACAGAAAAATAGGCACAAGATTTAGAGAGATAAATAGGCACAAGATTTAGGCAGAAAATAGGCACAAGGTTTAGTAAGAAAAAAAGAGGCACAAGAATTAGGCAGAAAAATATGCAAAAGGATTAAGGTTTAGACAGAAAAATAGGCACAAGATTTAGAGAGATAAATAGGCACAAGATTTATGCAGAAAAATAGGCACAAGTTGAAGGAAAGTTAATAACAGCAGTTCAGCAGCAGGAAAATGGATGGTTGATATTGCTTTGTGGAACTCTTTTACAATGGAGGTAGGAAACATCATTTAGCGGGTTGCAATGTGCTGCGTAGCATGTTAGGAGTTCTGTCACTGTAGGTTTTTAAAGGACGTACAGTGTAGGAATGCTGATGATATATCTTGCTAGATGTTGCTCTGTTGACTCTCACTTACCATAAAGTCAACCATATCTTTCTGATAAATGTGAATTTTGAAAATCTGAGCAGTTTGAATAAGATGTCTTAAAATGACTCAAAGAGCGTATAGGCTAGTAACAAAAGTACAAAAAGTAGAGCAAAGAAGGGCTCTCAGATATATAAGCAACAAAAAAATACACAAAAAGAAATATACACAAAGAACTAGGACTCTCACATGTCATGCATTTAGAGAAGCAACAAAAATACAAATAGTTGGGCAAAGAGCAGGACTTTCACATATAGGCAGGCAACAAAAATACAAATAGTGGGGCAAAGAGTAGTACTCTCACATATAGGCAGGCAACAAAAATACAAATAGTAAGGCAAGGAGCAGGGCTCTCACATATAGGCAGGCAACAAAAATACAAATAGTAAGGCAAAGAGTAGGGCTCTCAATACAGGCAACAAAAATACAAATAGTGTAGCAAAGAGTAGTACTCTCACATATAGGCAGGCAACAAAAATACAAATAGTAGGGCAAAGAGCAGGACTCTCAATACAGGCAACAAAAATATATAGTAGGGCAAAGAGTAGGGCTCCCATTACAAGCAACAAAAATACAAAAAAGTAGGGCAAAGAGCAGGACTCTCAATGCAGGCAACAAAATTACATAGTAGGGCAAAGAGTAGGGCTCTCAATACAGGCAACAAAGATACAAATATTAGACCAAGGAGTAAGGCTCTTAATACATGCTACAGGCAACAAAAAGTACAAATACTAGGGCAATGAATAGGAATCTCACATTTAGCAATAAAAAAGTAGGGGAAGGGCAGTCTGGGCTCTCACATATAGGCAGGCAACAAAAATACATGTATTAGGGCAAAGAGCAGGGCTGTTATGCCAAGGCCATTTCCCAGCAACAAAATATATGTAAATGGGCAACGAGGGAAACTAAAGAATTACAAACAGTGCAAAGATGTAAGAAAAAAAATAAATGGCAGGTAATTGAAGCAAGCAACAAAAAATGTGCATCTACATCTAGTAAGACAGAGGCAAAATTCAGTAAGCAGGGCAAAGAGGGAAACAAGAAAATTTACAGATAGCAGGTAGACCAAGGCACATCAAAAATACAAATAGTGGGGAAAGAGCAACTCTCAATACAGGACTTAAATGTACTAGTAGTTCAAGGCATGACTCTCAATTCATTTAACAAAAATCCTGCATTCATTTGATATGGTGGCTTGTCAAGACAAAAAGGCAGAAAAAATCAGGGCAAAGCTACTTTCTGGACAAAATTATCAGAGTAGGGCAAAGAGTATAGAAGCTCTAATGGCTGCCAAAACACATCAATATCAAGTAATAGTTCAGGTTTCATGTCATTCATCCAAAATGCATTTACACACACACTTAGGGAGAGAATAGGATCTCAAATATTAGCAATGTAGGGGAAGGGCAGAAATGCTCCACATATAGGCAAAAAAAACATGTATGTTAGGGCAAAGAGCAGGGCTGTTATGCTGAGGCCATTTCCCAGCAACAAAATATATGTAAACGGACAAAGAGGGAAACTAAAGAATTACAAACAGGGCAAAGATGTAAGAAAAAAAAAATAAATGGCAGGTAAAAGAAGCAAGCAACAAAAATGTGCATCTACATGTAGTAAGGCAGAGGCAAAATTCAGTAAGCAGGGCAAAGAGGGAAACAAGAAAATTTACAGATAGCAGGTAGACCAAGGCACATAAGATTCTTGGGGATACAATCCAGTAATGTAGGACTTATGATGTACTCTAGTTCAAGGCATGACTATCAATTCATTTAAATTTTATCCTGCATTCATTTGATATGGTGGCTTGTCAAGATAATGAGGCAGAAAAAATCACCCAGCTATTTCTGGATTTGTTATCAGAAGGGAAAGGAGTATATTGAAGCCTAATGGCTGCCAAAACACATCAATATCAAGTAATAGTTCAGGTTTCTGTCATTCATCCAAATATGCATTTACACACACACTTACTGAGAGAATAAGACAAATATAAGCAGATGTCTGTAGATTATCTTCAGAAATGTCCACTATTTGCGGAAAAAAACACTTTGTTTGTTAACAAAGCCAGGAATTAATAGGCCACACATTTACTACTAATATTTTGCCCCAGAGAAAATTCCCTATCCCTTTTGATAATTAAAAATTCCCCTGACAATGTTGAATGATAAAAATATAGAATAATTTTTTATTCCTTAATTAATAATGGAAATTTCAAAAGAAAAAAAAAAGCTCAAAATATCTGCAATATGGTTTTACTTAGCTATTTTATGCACTCAAAATGGTCTTTAAACTAATGAAGTTCAGTTGGGCCCCACAATTGTTGCTCTTTGGCCCTCAGACCCCCAGCTGATTTTCTTAATTTCTCCAGAAAGGGTAGTTTTACCAAAAAGCTAGATTAGTCCCTGAAAGCATAGATAAATTTTAATACATTTTTAGCTCACCTCGACGAAGTCGAGATGAGCTTATGCTATACCCCCGGCGTTGGCGTCGGCGCCCGGTTAAAGTTTTAGGAGCAGGTTTTCCTGATGAGTGACCAGGTTAAAGTTTTTGGAGCAGGTCCATTCCCAAGGAACTATAAGCCCTACCCGGACCAAACTTGCATGGATGATGCATGTAGGGATGGACACTACCAGAATTGCTTTGGATGCTGGATCTGACCTACATTTACCAGATTAGTGACTAGATTATTCCCAAGTAACTATAAGCCCTACCTGGACCAAACTTGCATGGATGATGCATCTAGGGATGGACAATCGAAACTTGCTTCGGATGCTGGATCTGACCCACATTTTCCAAATGAGTGATGAGGTTAAAGTTTTTGGAACAGGCAATCCCAAATGAATTTTAAGACGTATTTAAACAGAACTTGCTTGAATATTATTGTCAGAATAAAAATCAACTGTAAAGAAAATATGATGTGAGATTGGCATTACCTAAACTGATAACACTCGTCGAGGTGAGCTTCGTAATCTTTGATTACCTATGTTTTTTAAAGTGCACACACCATTTAAGAGAGTAATACCAATTATTATTTGAATGTGATAGTTATCATAAGGATATCTTAAGAATTTTAGGCTGTTCATAGAGAAAAAAAGACCCACCAAGTTTTGAAATGTTACCAGTTCCCAAGATTGTAAATATGTACACAATCTCACAATATCAATTTAAATCCTACAATTTCAAAATTTGCAGTACATGTAGCTTTGGTAAAACAAATTTATCTTGAGTTAGACTGGTTATTGTTTGGATAATGTAGATATGTCAGGTTATAGATGAAATTTAACATTGATTGAAATGGCTAGATGCTGAACACAATGTCTTAAGCCATTGTCTTCAGTGTTTTCCCTAAGAACCGGCTACCGGCCAAATTGACCGCTTCAATTAACAAAAATGCCACTTTGAAATAAAAATTTGTTGTTAGGTCCACAGAGATTTTGTTCATAAACCTCAGCCCCTAGCCTGTTCCAAGTTACAACTGATCTCTAACCCTTAACTTTGAAATAAAGGGAATACACTGTGTCTTATGTTGTTAATCTTGGTAATTTGATGTTTGTAATACTTCATTATAAATGTGTTAGTATTCATAGTTGAGTAATTTGATTATATGTGGTACAGAGAATATTACACAATGCCCACATGTATACTTATGTATGTACTTGACAGGTTATATACAGAGATGTGTGATCATACAGAGAGATGAGAAGGGCTACGGACTCACAGTCAGGGGAGACAACCCAGTCTATGTAGAGTCTGTCAAAGCAGGTCAGTTTTGTCCAAATTTTCAGAATCGATTTTAGAAAAAAAGGAGGGGGAAAACTCAATTCAAAAATACAGACAAAATGCATCAAGAATATTAAAAAAGCATCCTCATGTAGTAAAGATTCATTTTCTCAAATTAATAAAGAAAAACATAATATTTAAAAAAAAAATGATAATAAAAAATGTTCTTGTGCAGTGGTCGGAATGTTGACATATAAATATTTTGTGAAATGATATCATTACCAGTGATGCTTAAAATTCAGTGATTGCTTAAGTTTCAGGATACATAGAATATTTTTAATGCCTCACTGTGTAAAGCCACAGATTCTTTAATACACTGTAAACATTTTGTTTGTTATTTTTTTTAAACAGTTGAACATCTAAAAATATTCAGTGCATACATTTGGTGAACAATATGATTTGGTGCAGTATTAAAACATATGTTACACAGTATTTAAAATTGCTGGTGGGTCTGAATCATCAGTTATAAATTTGTCTGTAACTTGAATGATACACCTGAGAAATAAGAGATGTAAATATTTAGGATACTTACCAGTTTGGATATTAAATCACATTGTTGGTGTACCTGAGGCAAAATGCTTGGCATATTACACATTTATTTTAACAACTGCATTTAATACGTAACTATTTGTCTGATTTATTATCTTTATGATCATTATCTTCAGGAAATAGTATGAAAAATAATGTCTGAGCACAAAATAAAGTTTTTGACAATACACAATATTACACAATCTTAAATGTTAATTTAGAAGTCTTTGTGTTTTAGATGGGGCAGCAGAGAGAGCTGGCGTCAGACAGGGAGACAGGATTTGTAAGGTAGAAAATAATTATCAATTCAATGTAAAATACAAAGCTCAGGTTTAATGTTGATGTAATTAAAATTTAGTTTTAGTCTCTGGTATGATTTTCTCCAATCAGACATTACATAACAATATCACACACATGGAGATGTGATCTGTAAAGGCCCACATTTTCTCCCATTCAGATTACGAAAATTAAGATCAGATATGACTAAGCCAGTATTAAGTGTGATTTGTAAAGTTTATTACAATTGACACACTCCCCAGTGTCTGGTACTCAGTACAAATATAACCTTTAAAGTGGATGTTGTTATATGGGGAACAAAATCTGTATGTAGAAGCTCTCAGTTTGGAGTTTTTAGCTCACCTGAGTCAAAAGCTTAAGTGAGCTTTTCTGATGACATTTTGTCCGGCATCCATCTGTAAACTTTTCACATTTTCAAGTTCTTCTCAAGAACCACTAGGAAAATGTTTAAAAATCTTTTTCTCTAGAATAAGAAAGCATTGATCACCTATATTTATATGAAAGCATCCTCCTGAACATTGTTCAAAACATGAAAGAAAGGGCGGGGCCACAACAGCCTTAAAAGATTTTACAATAGAAGATAAATTTGTAGAAAAAAACCTTACTTAAGCCATGATTAGTCATAGAAATAGGGAAGCAAGAGTGGGTGACTAAGTTTTACTATAAAATTGAAGAATGTATAGGAAAAAACCTTGAAAAATGTACATAAGCCATGATTAGACTTATATACCTCAGGTAGTGTAGGTTCAAGATTGTTCCATACCACCGAAAACTCTTTTCTGGACACTTGTATTCAAAATTCAATATTGACTGATTTGGCATTTTCGTAGCCAGAATGCTCAGATGAGCTATGTGGCCCATGAGCCTCTTTCCCAATGGTCTACCTTTCATGCTTATCATGCCATTTTACATGTTGTGCCAAGAAATATAAATGCTGTAAACATAGCTTTTGTAGATTTGGGTTACTGCCCTTTGCAAATGCACAACTAAAATGAAAGGAAAAAGTTGGGAAATTTTATGAACAAGGTTATTTCTGATTAAGGTACAGTATCAGTATAAGGTTCAGTGTTTTACTGCTATATGTTTCATTGTAACTCTTTCGGAGAGATATCTTTCAATCTTGATGAAAAATCTTTATTTGATCCTTAGTTAAAACATTGTGTTTTATTTCTGTGGACATCACCTCTGTGCGCGGAGCAGGACGAACAGATGGCATTTTATCTCGACATACTTGTCACATTACTGACTTCCTGTATGGAAGGAACTGTAACTCCTCCAAGCCTTATACAAAAGAGGCCTACTGAGGGGCTCACAAAATTGTATACATAAACATGATTGTACCTGTATAAAAAAAAATCAAGTGTTAGATAGGTACAAAGCATCTTAAATAGGGGGTATAAAATTTTAGGGCAGTTTATTTCAGGGCAGAATTTTTTGTCTTCATAGATTTTTACATGTAGCTATATATTTTCATGTTGAGCACACAGTGTGGTTTATACTTGTCTAGAATCTTCTGTGTGATGCTGTTTGTAGATTGCACTGTCAGGAATTACTAGAGGTACACAGGTTTCTGGCACTACTGTAGGTGTAGTCTCTCTCTCTCTACATACATAAAGTGTGTGTTACTTCTATTACTTCCTGGTCACCTGTGTGTAGGCTCTCAGTCAGCTGATAACAGTAAGAAATTAGGTATCACACCCAAAACTGACTACAAAGTCAATCAAAGGAGCTGCTGTCTTAGAACAAAAACTAATACAGATTGAAGGCCATTAGTGTAGAAGATGTGAATAACTCGATGATTAGGAGAAGAAAGTGGCAGTAGTTTGTGGGGAGACATTCTCTACTCCTTACACAAGTTCAGGGAAATGTAGGTGTGCATGTAAGTTATGATCATTCCTTTAAATATTCTTAGATTTTTGTGATAATATGTAACCCAGTAAGTAATCTGGCAGAATGCAAAAGCATGAAATCTACTTTCACTGATATATCACTGAATTTTTTTTCTAAATATTTTGTTGGTCTTCACTTACTTCAATTATAATTTTGATTTCCTGTAGATCATTTAATATTATGAGTGTGTGTGTGGGTTGGTAAACAATTTCAGTGCAGTTATAATTGATTGATTTGAAACCTTATGTTCAATACTGGAAGCTTGATCTTTTTGACTGATTTTATAACTGATATTGTGAGTTTCCCCCTGTAGCGTTTATAAAAAAAAATCAGTTAAGTCCTCAATCAACTCAAACTTTTCAACAAGTGATGAGGACAAGAATAAAACAGGGGCATTTGCCAAAACAAATTTTAAAAAACAAGTGCATTTCAAATCTTAAAATAGAAACATTGTATCCCAAATATCGCGGTATTTTTTATACTGTCTGGTGTGTGATGATAAAGTCGTGGTAAGGTCTTATACATAAATGTCAGGCAGAGGCTTCTCCATAGTATGTACAGGTACACAGAAAATGTTCAACATGCATAAAATTCACAAATCTAAGGTTTATCAAAATGATTAAGGAATTAGCTGGTTTGGTTTGGTATATATAAATGTTTGGGATACATTTATCAGGTTTATGTACGCGGTGATCCTTGGATTGATACTGTAAGTAGGGTTGATAAGAATTGGCTGGGTTTGGCTGGATACCACCTCAGATTGACCAGTCCTGCCAATTACTGGCACTGATGTGGAAAAAACCTCTCTCCCAAGGTCAGAAGGTCACACGGGAGGAATATGTTTGTTTGTTTTGGCCATACAGTGCACACATCTAATTCCCAGAAGATTTGATACCATTATAGCTCGGTAATGGTACATGAAGGTATACTCCTGGAATCTTTATTTTTACATAAGCATGTGTGTACCATATCACTTGGAAATCACACATCAGTGTGTCTTTCTTTAGACTTAATGCTGTCACTTCTTAAAGCATCAAGTGTCTAAAACAAGAACAGACAACTCATCCTATGAGCTAGTCATACAAGGCTTCATTGTCATGGGGGAAATTATTCTGCAGAATTTAGTGATGACTTCTTCCTTTACATGAAGTCTCCTTACTTTTTATTATAACTACAATGTAAGATTTACATGTATTTTTATTAACTTAAGATTAGAAATGTTAATTTTCTTGTTTTGATTTTTAGGTGAATGGGACACTGGTAACAAACTCAAACCATATAGAAGTTGTGAGACTTATAAAAGGTAAGAATGGACATCAAGAAACAAGGACTACTGACAAATTTATTAATGGATTTAAACCTCAAATTATCTGGGGTTAGGAAGGTCAATATAAGATACAAGATACTAAAAGTTATCTTTATGATAAACTCCAGTTTATTTGTAAATAGGTGTTCATTGATTGTGGAATTAATCATCAAGGAAAATATTGAAGCAGGAAGGAGTTTAGAGTTTACATGGGACTCCTGATTTTCATTTATGTGCCCCGTGTATAGAAGATTCAAGGGCACAGTTTTTTGGTCTGTGTATGTCTGTCTGTCTGTGTGTTAATCTTTTTGGCTGCCATAACTTTAACATTGTCCATAACTTTTGAATGCCTTCTGCTAGGGCTTTCATATTTCACTTGTGTATTCTTTGTTATAACCAAAGATTTTTTATATTATTGGATTTGACTTCACATTGACCAGGGGTGCAAAATTGTACATTATGCATATTGCAGTACTGCATCCCTGTATGTCTGTTAAAATTGATGCCAACAAGTGATAATGATCTAAACTGGGCAACAAGTGTCACTGGTTTATACGTAGTACTTAAGGAGACTGTACAAATAGTCAATATACTGTCTGTATTTTCTGATTCATAGAACCAGCTAGTTCTATTGTAGCTATAATAATTCTAACTAACATCAAAGGCAGTGAATGTGGAAACATTAGGCGTCCCTAGCTTCTTGTTGATAACTCTCTCCCATCACTTAAAGCCATCATCAAGGAAGAGCTCAGCCAGAAAATGGTGGCAGGCCATCAATCTTACAAAAAAACACCTCAGAATTTGGAGGGGAGATGTCAAGGTCATAGGTTCTATTGACATTGAAATTGACTGATTTATGTAATCTCATTAGCATGCTACAGGTAATTCTACCTAGCAGGTTCCTTTCGACAGTTTGGCAGACTTATAGAAGCAATCAATTACAAAGGAGATATCTGTAGAAAACTGAAATGTTTTCTTGTCTTTATATTTTTTGATTCTTAAAGTTGCCTTCTTCATGTTTTTGTATTCCTATAAGTCCAGTGGAATACCAAAATAGTCTCATTTATAGTTATGCTGCTGAATATGCCATATCACTCTGAAAAGGATTTTGTTGGAGTTTTATTTTAATATTATTTCTCAAAACTGCATTTATGAGTGGTCACATCCATGTTTATTTCTAAGTAAAATGAAAATGCAATGAAGTGGAAGTTGAGAAGTAAACTTTCATTGCATTTATGTGGACAAGTATAGAAATATCTGTATGAGTCTAATATTCAAACTTTGGGTGGAGTAGTTACAATGTAAGATGCTTAAGGACATATTGTTTTCAAACAGTTTTAGTAACTTAATGAATCTAGCAGGAATTTGGGAATTAAGATTTTTGAAATAGTTGGTATGGAGGTAAAAATTTGGGCAAACAATTACAAGTGTCTGTTGTTTAGAGAAGCGATGAATTCTCTTCCATTTGACAATGATGAAGAGAAATGCAGACCCCCTTGAATTGGCTCACGGATTGGGAAGAACAGAATCTTTTTCCAGATCTTGTTTACCTATCTCTTGAGCTGAACTTCCTGTGTAGTACCTCTGCCATTATGGGCTTTCTTGGCACAGGCTATATATTGCCGATTTCTCTGATAAATAAGGTACTCCAGAATCTGGAGAAATACTGTACTGCAATAGCTTATATTTACTCTCTAAATAAAACTAGTAAATATATATATACATTCTATCAAGCTATTTTTGATATAGGAACAGTTGAGCTTTCTTCAGTTTTGATTTAAGTTTGCTGTTTGTGCTTAAACATTCAGTGATTACAGATGTGAGCTGGGGAGGAACATCAGAGCTATGTTCCTTGTCTGATGTTTTTTCTCTCCTATTATTCGTTGTCTTATGTTTACACATGTCATCCACGCAGTGTAAATGACAGATCAGACCAGAAAATCGCCCATGTGTTTGTGACAGCGAGACTCAGCTGTATAAGTCCTGTACAAATCACTCTCCAATATTCCTCTACTTCTGATCAAGGGCTTTATAAAAAGCCTCCGAGCTGTAAATTCTCTGATTAAAATCTCCATCTCTGTGATGCAGGGCTTAGAGAGCTGCTGCTATAATGGTAACAACCAGACCATTATCTTACAGAATTCAATTAGATTTAGATTTTAATCAGCAGCGTATTGTCTTTGATAAAACTAATGATCTGTCATTCATTGGAACTGCGTGGACAGATATAAGATAGGAAGGGGACAAAGTGATTGTTATATTCCCATCCATTTCTGGGTTTAATACAGAAAAAAAAACCTTGGTTCCTACCACTGTATATATTGATTTTTCTGAGTTTTGAGAGTGCAGGGACAACTGCATAGTCACAATGCTTACCATCAAGTTCAGGGTCCAAGGAAAAGACCAAGGGTGGGGTGGGGAGTATTTCTTGACAGAAGTTGTGAAATCAGCATCACCATTGTATAATGAAATAAACAAAAATGTACTTATGTTTAAAACAGTGAAGTGATTTTTAATTTGGTAACACTTATCTAGCACTACTAGTTACGTAGAATAGTACTTTTGACTTTTGTCAGCTAGTGCTGGGATAAATGATATGACACTGCATGAATATAAAAAAAATCCTTGAAAAATCAATTTATAAGTAAATTAAAGAGGAAGTATAGAAGGAAAGAAATACAAGGCCTTAAAAATCTATATCTCAGTGATAACCTATCACGTATGGTGTTCCATCATGAAATGTGTTCACTGATAATGTAGAATGATGTTTTAAGAAAATAATTTTTCACTTGAACTGTATTTCTCTCCATGCCTGGCCTCTCCTCTAGCTGTGGCAGCTTATGCAGCCAGAGGTAGTTAGCCAGCAAATATTGAAACAGACTATGACTCTCTCCGCAGAGCTCAGTATTGTTTCTCTAAACTGTTGTATATATATATATATATATATATATCTTTATTTATGTGTTCTATAATTCATGGAGTTTTTAAGTGTGTAACAGGATGTGTTAGGAAATATTAAGTGAAAGTTAAACATCGTTAATTAGCGGGATGCTGGAAGACTCAGAAGGTAAGCTTTATCCAGAATCCAGGTGTTGGGATAATTTAAAAAAAAAAAATTTTTTTTTTATGTGTGTATTTAGCGCATCCATTTCCTTAGCAAGTGGATAAAGATTTGAACAAGGGGGAAGACATTTTTCTTTTGTTGATGAATTAAATGTTTCGTTATTCTATACCTGTTGCACACTGTCTTAAGCTGCGATATGAATAAGAATATCATTTGTAGACAGTAAGACAAGGGAGCCGCGATTTATACCTGGTTCTCCTATGTACAGTTAGAGGTTCCGCTTATTGATGGAAATAGAAACACTAGAGAGACTGGAGAGCTTGTTCTAGGCTTTCCTCAATCTTATCTCTTTGAGTCTTGGCACTCCACACGGCTTCAAACAAGAAACCCTCTGCCTTCAGCATTTTTTAAATAATTTGGTTTTTAATCTTCCAATTAGATGTGTTTATTTTTGTTTGCATTGTAATCCATTTAGCAAGTGGTTAGCATTATCGTTCTGCCAAAAATAATAATACCAAAAAATGTTATAAATGATCATTAAGAATTCCTATAGGTGTGTGCTGTAAGATTCAGATCGTTGTAAACAGGTGACTGGTAGAATGTTTCCAAAACATGAACAGTTTTGAAAGTTTAAAAAAAAGGATGAAACTGGAGGAGACTAATGGAGAATTTGGTATCAGTATCTGGAAGTATTCAGAAAATCTGTGTGATTGATAGTGAGCATAATGGGAAATTATTCTGTGAACATCACTGGTATTCTGATAGTCAGAAATCTTCCTCCTCCAAACTCAGGGATGTTACAGACAAAATAAGGATAAGATGTCAGTAGCTGTTAAACTAAGTAGAAAAGTTGGGCTCATTCTAAACAAACCATCATGGCATGATGTCAAAAAAAAATCCCTCTTATTTTCATTGATCTTCACTTATCAGTTTGATCCTATAACTGCCTGGAATGTGACAGGTGGTTGTAGGGAGATGGAAAATATCAACTACAAATGTGTACACACGTGTGGAACAATTCAGGGCCTCGTGATTGACTTGAAGATGTTTTATGACATTATCAACATTCTAATTTCATTATTGATATCACAAAAATCTGAGAGGAGGGGGGACTTAGGT